TATATATATATTATATATATATATATATATATATATATATATTATATATATTATATATATATATATATATATATATATATATATATATATATATATATATATAAATATATATATTATATATATTATATATATATATATTATATATTATATATATATATATATATTATAATATATAATATATATAATATATATATATATATATATTTATGATATATATCTATATATATATATATTATATATATATATATATTATATATATATATATATGAATATATATATATATATATATATATATATATTATATATATATATATATATATATTATTATATTATGAATATATATATAATATAATATATAATATATATATATATAACTATGAATATATTATATATATATATATATATATAATATATGAATATATATATATATATATATACTTATATAATATTAGATAATATATATATATAGATGTGTGTGTGTGTGTTAGTGTCATTGTGTGTGTGTGTGTTGTGTGTGTGTGTGTGTGTGTTATATGATATATATTATAATATATATATATTATATATATATATATATTATATTATATATATATATATATATCTATATTTCTATATATTATATTACATATTATATATATATATATATATATAATATTATAATAATATACATCATCATATAAATACATATAAATTCATATATTACATCATATATATATACATATAATATTTACATATATATTCATTATATAAATATAAATTATATTATTATTACATATATATATATTATATATATATATATATATATATATATAAGTATATTATATATATATAATATATATGATGAGTGTGTGTGTGGTGTGTGTGATATATAATATATACATATATATATATATTTATGTATGTATGTATCATGTCATATTACATTTCCCACATCAATTCTACATTTCCAAATAGGAAGAGTCACTTTCGACATTTCTGTGAAACTTCATTTTATATACAGTAAAACAAAAAATACATATTTTCTGATAGATTCTGCCGAAAAAAAATATTGGTATAGTCATATTTCCTCACGAACTTACAAAGTCACGACACATAAATTGCAACTAATCAACAGTGACATCAAAGATTCCCACTAGTGTCACCGTTTGGCTGCCGTCAAAGAGAAGAAAGGGTACCAGTGAGGAAATGAGGAATTCCACTTGGCAAGTCGAGTATTTGACTTTTTGATATTACATGTGATTCTGACAAAGGTGTGATATTGAATCCTCAGTTTATATATCTTGCGGTGTGGAATTCTCTCCTTGTCTCATGTTTCTCACTATTCTACATTTGTCACGATTTGTCATCTAAAAAAAAAAAGAAAAAAATAGAAAAAAGACATGATGGGTTTTTGTGTCTTTTGTAAAACAGTTGACATTACTGGCTCCCCTGATGCCACTGTTTTCAGTTTATGGCACAGGTTAGCCACACTCATTATGTAGGAAGTTTAAATTAATAAAAAAATATAAAAAATACATATATCTTCTCACCATTATTGGCATTGATGTTCCCCACCACTTTAATTTTATATTCTATCTTATATACATTTAAAAAGTGTATATGCACTTGTCTTTGTATGTATAAGTGTGAGTGTGTGTGTGTCTGTCTGTCTGTCTGTCTGTGTCTGTGTGTCTGTGCGTGTGCGTGCGTGCGTGCGCGCGCATAGATACACACACCATACATGTATGTATGAGTGCATATACATTTGTTTTCAAATCTTTCCAAATGTTGAAGTAGTTATCATCCCCAACATCATAATTATTGTTGATTAGTTTTGTTATTATGGATTTTAGTCCCTCTACTGAATGGATCATTTTTATATGTTACACATAATCATTCATGAAATTTATTCACCTCATTTTGTTTGCATATATATATATATATATATATATATATATATATATATATATATATATAATCATACATATATATATACATATATATATATCAATATGTATGTGTTTATATATATGTGTGTGTATGTATGTACACACACGTATACATTAACATGTATTTTATGCATATGTTAATGTATACTGTATGTATGTAAATGCACACACCAAGAATTGTTTTAAACTATATTTTCCGTTCTCTTTAAAACTGAAGTGCACACTGTAAGGACACTCCTCAATGCATTAAATATTTGAAGTCATTAAAATTGCCGTATATCCCATTCGAATAGCAATCTCACACCTTCACCTTGTCCCATTGTTAGGTTACACGTACATCCATATCATGGAATTCATTTGAGTTCATTTTTTGTTTTAACTTTACGTCATCGTTTGGCAGTTATTATTAAAGGTTTGAAAACTTCTTTCTCTCCAAACCCCATCCACACTGTCTGTGACCTCCACTTCCCTCTCCGCCATAAGCCACCTTGCTCAATTAGCGTTGATTGGCGAGGGGTTCAGTTACTCTGTGGGTGCCTACCTCTGCCCTCCTCATTGTCTGCCCATGTTGGGGCAGGGATCTCTGTGGTTGTGCAGATTACACCCTACAGCCTACGCCAAGTCAGCCAGTTAAAAAAATAAATAAAAAAGATACTTTTTACCGCACCCCTAGTTATGATGACATGTATTTCTCATTGTTACTTCGATTGTTTTCTCTTGTAAGCTATTTACACAAGCTAGTCTTTTATCTGTTAATATAAGACTGCATAAGGTACCTTGTATATGGAAATGTAATTTCCGATTATATTTTCTCATAATACATGGACATGAAATCATTCACAAAGGGTAAGTGAATAATATTTGCACGCGTGTTTGGATCACATCAACAAGATAGCAAAGGTGCAGGGCAGGTTAGGAGACTTGAAGCTTATATGCATTGTTTATATTGTTAACTGTGCTATACAAATCTGCACCATTTCATACTGTTCTTGTACTGTAAGGATCTGATGATCAACATTTTCAAGCATTGATAAGAATAGATACTTAAGAGAGGTTTCTGATTAGAAATGAATTATTAGTAAATGAAATTGTGTGGGAGCGCGTGCGTTCGTGTGTGTGTGTGTGCGTGCGTGCGTGCGTGTGTGCGTGCGTGTAGTGTGTGAGAGAGAGAGAGTGTGTGTGTGTGAGAGAGAGAGAGAGTGTGAGTGTGTGTGAGAGAGAGAGAGAGAGAGAGATATTAGATACCTATACGCTGCAATTAAAAAGCATCTGAATGATAGTTTATTCATTGGTTCTTTAATGAAAGAAGTTCCTACATATGATAAACATGTACATAGTAATTATTAAAGTTAGAGAGAGGATTATTTCCTCTCCATTTCCCTTATAACAAAAATCTAGCGACAAAGCACGCAAGTCAGAGTATGTTTTATCTTACTGTCACCTGAAAGAGAGAGAGAGAGAAAGAGCAGTACCTTTTCTTTCGCCTCTGAATAAAAAGACAGAGACAGGTTTGCTACATTGTCAGACATGAGGAAACATGCTGTGATTTGAGCTAAGGAGGGAAAATTTGCAGCCATTGTGCAACTAATTTTGACACACTGGATTGAGATTGCTCTGCTATGCTTGGATTTTGTAGAGGCCTATTCTGAGCCTTTTGTAATATTTTTTTCCCCTCCCCAAACTACTCTCAATACTCTGAACTACGTAGTCCCACTCACCATCTCAAGATAATAAATAGTACACTGCCTATTTTAGGTAGAAGGATCTGTTTCCTTCCACGAAGAAAAAAAGAAAACAGGAAGAAAAAAAAATCTTTATGTAGCTGACTTAAAAGCGAAGCCTCTTTCACTTCTGTTTTGACTGGAGTACAAATGTACTTGTACTTCACGCTGGGCATGTGTATGAATATGTAAATGTATGTATACATGTAAATATATATACATACATACATATATATACATATATACGTTGTCCTTTAAGTGATAATGGACTATGAACTATTCCCCAGTTAGAATGAAGAGGTGTATCATCTCTCCTTCCTGCCTTAGATGCCCAGGCTATCAAGTGTTGATTTGGCACGCTGATATCTACATACAGTTGTTATTTGTAATCATTACTTATTTCAGAAAGTACAGTTGTTATTTTCATGTTCCTTTCATTTATGAAATGATTATTGAATGTTATTTTGGTGGAAGAGCGACTTCACATTAAATATTGAAGATATAATAACGTGTTTCATTGGAGTCCCTTCAAATGTATAGATTAGGTGGATATTAGGTAGAAATTTCGCATTGTGCGCTGAAAATATCGCAGGTTCACTTTCTCGCACACGCGCGCACGCATACAACGTGTATAATAACCTAAAAAAAAAACGAAACAGATTATTGAAGAATATTGTAAAATTGAAGAAAAAAGTCCGAACTTGTTTTCGACAAATTTGAGATCAGGAATATCAATCATATCCAAGAAAAACCTTCCAAAAACAAGGAAATAATAACAGTGGCTCCGATGACATTTTACAAGTAACTCCATGACCCTGATTTTGTTTTGCTTATTAAACCCATGTCTGTTGATTGTAATACTTATATAAATGATTATGGTACAGAAAATTCAATATTATCAGAGTAAAATATAAAACGACACATCCGATATATTTTCGTTGACATCTATCCTGGGGAATGATCAGCATTTGTCAATCGTCACAATTCATGCACCTTTTCAAAATGATGCTATTTGTAATAATAAATAGATAAAGTACCTAAATTATGTCACAATACGTTCTGCTGGAATTGTTTTTTTTCTGTATTTTCGAAGAGGTGAAGTAAAGTAAGATTCAATGCAACATTTATTACATTACCCCGAAAGAATGACAAAACACTACCGTGTTGGTGCACTGGTAGAAAGAATCCACAATACACAAAACAAGCTATTAATTAAAAGGAGTTTTGAAATTTTGGATCTTATCTTCAGGTCTCGTTTTGGATTTTGTACAGCTGAAACCGAGAATTTCGAAAATGTCATCTTTCGATAAACCTATTTAGTTTAGTTTGCTTTACAAACAGCTGAAACCGAGAATTTCGAAAATGTCATCTTTCGATAAACCTATTTATCTAAACGCCGATGTTACTCGTGTTCTGGAGAAGGGTTTCACTTCAAGAATATCACACCAGTGCTTTTGCCATGGAAAATTATTTTTTTATATAAATGCTGCAGTTCAGAACTACCCACTAACATTTCAAATTCAAACAGGTCTACTTTAGTCTGTGCTAGATAACCCCCAGGGGGAGGGGGAGGAGATGGAGACTGAGGGGAACATCCCTACTAATTTTGCATGGTCTTCCCCTCTCCTTTTCCTTCCCTTCACCTCCTGTCCACATCCTAAGGTGCGAGAGCCGTGCTGAAAGGATGAAAGGCTAGCTTTGTGTCAGTCCCAAACAGCCTACATACTCCATTTGTTCTTCCCTCTTTGCCATTTTAACCATCACACTAACCTACAGCGCTCTACAACCTTTAACAAGAAACATGTCCTTATTGTCATATTTTTTTGTCATTATACTTCTATAGTGTTTTATGAACTTTGATGTCTGACATTTATTTGCCTTGACCATCAACCATTTTAAGAATCTATAAAAATCGCTTTAATTAACCAAAAAACTTCATTACCCCTAAGTCTCACCCTATTGCCATACTTTGAATACTCCGCTAATGACCCTAGATATTGACGCGGCAGAACATTTTCAATAAATAAATAATAATTTGTTAGATAAACCTTATCTCGTTATGGGGAAACTAAACACTTCTGGTAGATGCTGGCCTTAAGAAAACAATTTCTGATTTAGAATCAAATCTACATGCGTGTAGGGTCAGTCAGTTGGCCTGTATCCTTGTATGCCAGTGTGCAAAACTTTAGTCCTGATGTAGGTTTACAAATAATCATGATACAGAAGTGTAGTGAAAAATTAATCCCTAGAAGAGTCATCCGTCAGTTACGAGGTCAGGCTAGGTCATGCGAGGTTCAAGCAATGGCCAGGGAGGGTGGGCTGGAGTCTGAGCGACCTCGATCCGCCTTTCCTCCTCTGCAGAAGTTGGCGCTGAAGTGCTTGTGAGGAACCGCCAGCTCCAGGAGGAACACGAGCACCGAAAAGATCATACCTGTGAAGGAGCAGGAAATTTCAGTAAACAAAATCTGGAGTGTTAATCTTAAGCTCTAATTTGTGCCTTATGCAGACCCGTACAAACAAGCAAGCCTCCCCTCCCATATGCGCGCGCACACACATGCCCCTCACATATGCCCCCCCCACACACACACATATGCCCCCCCACACACACACATCCTCTTGTAAGATTGGGCTTCCATAGATAAAGCCTCACCCCCAAAGTACACACAGAAGATGCCGTAGAAGTCCTCCAGCTCGAAGGGTCTCAGGTTGTTCGAGGGCGACACCAAGCCAGGCTGAACACATTTGGTGTAATTCATCAAGCCATGGAGGTACATGTGGTTCAAGATGCCAGATTCCTTTAGCCTGTCAATTCTGCAATGTAGTAAATGGGCTAGTATGTTACAGTGGAATACTCTCTCTCTCTTTCTGGCAATTGAAAAAATTGTAAAAACTAGAATAATTATCTCCACAATACATGCATAGGCCCTTAATTGTATTTAATATATGGCTTGGTTTGGGGACAAAATTCACTCTTGGCGATCATGTCGTAGTCTTGCCACTTGCCTATAAACTTGGACCACTTGAACTTACATGAATGAACGCTATAATAATCATTCTTAGTAGGAGGCCAAGGATTAACACCAATTTGGGGTATCCTATCTAGTATCCATATGTTTTGATTTTAGCATTCTTCGTCTGAGACAATTTCCTATATATTTCTCTAACATTCTCCAATTTCTGTGACAAGCTAGCTACACCCATCCTCGTTCGTTCTCTCCAGTTATTCCTCTTTTTATCTTTACTGTATTACGCTTAAAAAAAACACCATTGTAGATAATATGCCTAGGCTACATTACACTGTATCCAGAGAGCAGGACGATTATGGAGGAAAGACTGTAAGGGTGTCAAAGTAGCTTGGAGCACAGGAGTGTGGAAAACAGCAGACTGAACTTTGAATACTTGAAAATGGGCTAGAGGTGAGTGGAGTAGGATGTAGGTGTAGAGACACGGGGGTCATTTTGGGTATAACAGTGAACGCAAGTCGTGGGAACAGCTAGAGAAAGGCAAGATGTATTAGACAAAATAGTTCAGCAAACGTGGGAAAGGGAAACTGTACGAGGCAGTGGTGGGATTGGCAATGAGTTAAACTAAGGTCACATTAGTCTTCTCTGTCCTGGGATCCCTAGCCAGCCTCGCCGAAGTGAAGTCAGCTGATGTAGTTGGCCAGAGTTCGGTGAGCTGTCTAGGCATCCCAGGACAGAGAAGAGAAGTGTGACCTTAGCGTAAGGAAGCGGCACCAATTACAAAGAGAGAAGCAGCGAACGGAGACACGAGAGATATCGATGTGGATTGCTGCGGGGAGGGCGGCAAAGAGTGGCAAGTCTAGACCTTGCACTCTTTAGACATACATGAAAAATGTATAATAACATTACGACATACTGAAAATGGCTTTAATGGGCTTTGGACAGAGACGTGAAGGGCTTTGGGATACTAAAAAAATAGAATAGAACTGAAGTGAGGAAAACGTAACAAAATAATTATGATCCACAGTTGTAACTCGCAGAGCTTAATATTTTCAGTAGACGTGGACAAGAGGTCGCAGCAAAAAGCTAGACATAAAACCTGGAGATAAAGATAAAACAAAATTTAATTTTTCAAAGAGAAGAATGGAACCTTTCAGAGAACACTGCATGTGCCAAAACACTCCAGTTTATAAGGTTATACGATAATCTCAATACTGCATTTCTAGTACGGTAAGAAGACGGACATTCAAGTACAGACCTAAAAAATATACAGATAGATGAACAGATTGGTGTGTCTATTGCATAATAGGCCTACATATGCCACACAAAACTAGCTTGTTCTGTATAACAAAGCATTTAACATTTGTCCTATAACGCATGTCACCAAACTACCTAGCGTTACCAATGCCACCCTCAGTACTTACAAAGGATCAAATTTCTTGACGAGTGGCGATCCTTTGGGAAACGCAAGACAGAGGCTCGTGGTGAAGACCGTCCCCTTGGTCATGTACAAAGGGCATGTCCCTCGCTGCAACATGTGAAAGACACGAATTGAGTCGGATGTTCCCCTGATGAGTTTTGTTGGCTGGCATTTGATTGGCGTTGGTTTGACGAATCTCTAGCCTTAAGTATTTACGGGCGTTCAGGTGTATCTTCTATCATTGCAGGGAGTTAGCTACGTTAAAAAATAATAAAAAGTGATGATAGTAAATGGGTGTTTGAAACACTGAGGTGGTATACATTTAATTTGTTTACGGGTAGTGGCTAGTTCAGTACATAGTGATCACTAGCTTAATACATAATGATTAATAGTTTACTAAATAATGATCAAGAGTTCTAGAATGTGAAAAATCAAGATGAAGATGGGAGAAAGAAAACGCAGCAAAAAGGGGGAAGTGAAGTATGGCGGAAATCAAGATAAAAGAAAATGTGACAAACGAGGGTGAAGTTGGCGGAAATGGTCTAAAAGATTGAAAAGGGAAAACGTAGGAAAATGAAGGTGAAATAAAAGAGGGAAACCGAGATGAAAAAAAAAACGTAATCAAAGGTAAGAGGGTAAGATATGAAAACCAAAGATGAAGTTGGGGGGAAATATGAAAAAAAAAATCTTCATAGAATTTAATACAATCTCACATCTTCCTATTATGAACAATGAAAATTCCTCATCCTCAGCCAAGTGAAGTTATTACTTGAGAATTTCGTTATTCATTTAAACTTACACACTTAGGATCTTAATTGCCGACTGAATGAAGGGCGAACTATGCAATAAGCCTGTACAATATATATGAGATTTAAAGCATCTCTTTCACAACAGCTTAGATCAAAGTACCAAAAGGGTTGAAGTTATTGTATTTTATTATTATTTGGGATGAATTTCTTCTCTGTCTCGAGGAGTTTGGGTAATTTCCTTCCTAATTTTTCAGTATCAAAACTCACAGTAAGTACCGTGTTTAGAATGTGAATACCGGTCACTGTAATAATAATGATAATGCTAATAAAATAAAAATAATAGTAACGATAATGAAAATGGAAATGATGATTACGAATGATAATAGTATTGATAATGATTTTTAAAAAATGGATTATAAGGTTCTTGGTGCTGACTGTCGACCACGGAAAGGATCGATCGGGAGTCAGGATCAGAGTGAGTGAGTGTTCATACCTCGCCAATGCGGGAAAAAGTGTGTAAGTGTGTGCAAGTGAGTGTGAGTGTGTGTGTGTGTGTGTGTGTGTGTGTGTGTGTGTGTGTGTGTGTGTGTGTGTGTGTGTGTGTGTGTTGTGTGTGTGTGTAAGTGTGTAAGTGTGTGTGTGTGTGTGTGTGTAAGTGTGTGTAAGTGTGTGTGTGTGTGTGTGTATGTTGTGTGTGTGTGTGTGTGTGTGTGTGTGTGTGTGTTGTGTGTGTGTGTGTGTGTGTGTGTGTGTGTGTGTGTGTGTGTGTGTGTGTGTGTGTGTGTGTGTGTGTGTGTGTGTGTGTGTGTGTGTGTACGTGTGTGTACGTGTGTGTACGTGTGTGTACGTGTGTGTACGTGTGTGTACGTGTGTGTACTCTCTACATGTACATATGCATATACATGCATATTATGTGTGTGCGTGTTAGCAAAGTGTGCTTCTATAAATTACTAAACCAGGACTGGTTTGAAATTACTTTTCATTTCAAATGAGCACGTCACTCATCCTGAAAACCAATCATCTCCAAACGTCTACAAAACTACACACAAAAAACAATCAACATTCGGGCCGCGAGCGAGATATCCGTCCCAGAAGAAAAAAACTCCTACCGTGTTGTAGATATGATTGATAATCGACTCGAGTCCCTTCTTCCCGAAGAACGCAGCGTAGGCGCCCTCGGAGACCTCGTCCACCATCGTCATCACATCCCTGCGCACAAGGGCCTGCTTCCTCAGCTTGTAGAGGGACGTCCCCGGCGCTGCAGTCTGGCGATCGGGAAACTTTGGTGACGTGTTTGGCCGCGGGGAAACCCTGTATGGTTGAGATAGGACGCAAAAGAAGAAAAAGGGGAGGAGGAGGAGGAGAGGAGGAGGAGGAGAGGAGGAGGAGGAGGAGGAGGAGGAGGAGGAGGAGGAGGAGGAGGAGGAGGAGAGGGAGGGAGCAGGAGGAGGAGGAGGCAGCAGCAGCGGGCAGCAAGCAGCAGCAGCAGCAGCAGCAGCAGCAGCAGCAGGAGGAAGCAGCAGCAGCAGCAGCAGCAGCAGCAGGAGCAGCAGCAGGAGAGCAGCAGCCAGCAGAGCAGGAGAGCAGCAGCAGCAGGAGCAGGAGCAGCAGCAGGAGCAGGAGCAGGAAGCAAGCAGGAGCAGGAGCAGGAGCAGCAAGAGGAGCAGGAGCAGGAGCAGGAGCAGGAGCAGCAAGCAGGAGCAGGGAGAGCAGCAGGAGCAGAGAGCAGGAGCAGGAGGGCAGGAGCAGGCAGGAGCAGGAGCAGCAGAGGAGCAGGAGCAAGCAGGAGCAGGGAGCAGGAGCAGGAGCAGGAGGAGGAGCGAGCAGCAAGAGGAGAGGAGCAGGAGCAGGGCAGCAAGAGGAGCAGAGCAGGAGCAGGAGCAGCAGGAGCAGGAGCAGGAGCAGCAGCAGGAGCAGGAGCAGGAGCAGCAGAGAGAGCAGGAGCAGAGCAGCAAGAGCAGGAGCAGGGAGCAAGAGGAGCAGGAGAGGAGCAGGAGCAGGAGCAGGAGCAGCAAGAGGAAGGAGCAGGAGCAAGCAGCAGAGCAGAGGAGCAGAGAGGAGCAGAGAGGAGCAGGAGCAGCAGAGAGCAGGAGCAGAGCAGGAGCAGCAAGAGAGCAGGAGCAGCAAGAGCAGAAGGAGCAGGAGCAAGAAGCAAGAGGAGCAGCAGAGCAGCAGGAGCAGGAGCAGAGGAGCAGCAGGAGCAGGAGCAGGGAGCAAGAGGAGCAGAGCAGGAGCAGCAAGAAGGAGCAGGAGAGCAGGAGCAGGAGCAGCAAGAGGAGCAGGAGCAGGAGCAGCAAGAGGAGGAAGAGGAGGAGGAGGAGGAAGAAGGGCGAGAAGGAGAAAGGAAAAAAATCAAGACGGAGATGTAAAGGGGAAAACAAAGAAAAGAAAAACACAAGAAAACGCATACATGATCACGACGTTATGCTTCTTTCGTCGGCCATTTCCTCACCAAAATGGCTTGGTGGAGCATGCTGTCCTCATACACGAAGGTCGGGATGTCGGTCTCCACGAGTTCCTCTATGCTGTCGAAAGGTAACCGGAGTTTGGGCAGGATCAGCATGGCCTTGAGGTTCGAGCGGTACACGGAGCCGATGATGAGGGCGGAGAGAAGCCACAGACCTCCGATAAACCTCCCGGAGTTTCCCTTTGGCATCCACGGGATTGCTTCAAGGGAGTGAGAAGGAGAGAGAAGCAAAATCATGGACGGTCTGGAGGAAGATGTTTGGTCACGCTCGAAAGAACGAGCGTGACCAAACATCTTCCTCTAATTAGCTAATCTAATAATCTAATATACTGGAGAAGAGGGGTATGGAGGAGGACACTGTAGTGATAGAGGAGGATCGTATGAGTATTCAAGTGGGAGTGGTAGAAAGGGTGGGGTATGTTGGAGGGTATAAGAGAAAAGGGGGTGGAGGGAACTTGAGGAGGAGGAGGAGGAGGAAGATGGATATCTGCAAATACTTTAAATGCAGGACTAGGAACAGAGGGTTTGGGTGGGGTAGGGGGGGGTGGAGTGTTCCCTTGGGGTCATCTCTAGAAGTTTTGGATGTCTTCAAGGGTTCCTGGGGGGGAGGGGTGGGGAGTTGGATGAAGAGGACTGAGAAACAAAGCTTTGGAGAGAGGTGTTTTTTGCCACGCTCGCTATTTCGAAATAGGCCTATGCATTATCTCGTTTCGCTATCTTACGGTAGCAGTTCCAACGACAAAAAAAACTAGAACAATGATGATCTATCTTCAAACACCTGTACACGACCTACACTGGGCTAGAAGAGCGCCGAGAGTCCAATAGAAAACACTCCACACGCTCTTTGCTTTTTCCTTTCCTTTCCTGTCAGTTTCAGTTTCGTCGTCGGATTTTCCTCTGAAAGGCCTGCTAAAAGTCGACATATTTGAACAGACATCAGGAAGACAATATATACAGTTACTATTATCATCATTTATCACAATCATTATCATTATTAACAGTATAATTTTGCACGAACACTATCATTATCATTATTTATTCACAGTCATTATCTTATTTGCTATTTTTATTCATCACATCACTATCATTATCATTATATCATACTTATCACCTTATCATACCATTATCATAATACCTTCACTATCATTATCATAATTTCATAATACCCTTATCTTCATATCATAATTTCATAATATCCCTTATCACTATCATTATCATTATCATATCCTTATCACTATCATTAATCATATTATCATAATACCCTTATCACTATCATTATCATTAATCCAGCTATCATATCATTATCATAATCACTATATTATCATAATGCATAATACCTTATCACTATCATTATCATCATTATCATAATACCCTTATCACTATCATTATCATCATTATCATAATACCCTTATCACTATCATTATCATAATTATCATATACCCTTATCACTTCATTATCATAATTATCATAATACCCTACATTCATTATCATAATTATCATAATTACCCTTATCACTATTCATTATCATAATACCCTATCACTATCTAATATCATAATACCCTTATATTATTCATCACCATATCATAATTATCATAAATACGCATTATCATAATATTATCCATTTATCATAATCCCTTATATTATCATATACCTTATCATTATCATAATACCCTTACCATACATAATACCCTTATCATTATCATCATAATACCCTTATCATTATCATAATACCTTATCATTATTTCATAATACCCTTATCATTATCAAATACCCTTATCATTATTCATTATCATTATCATAATACCCTTATCTATTTATCATTAATTATCAATAATACCCTTATCACTATCATTATCATAATTATTCATAATCATAATATATCACTATCATATCATTATCATAATACCTCATCATATCATTATCATAATATCATAATACCCTTATCACTATCATTATCATAATTATCATAATACCCTTATCACTATCATTATCATAATACCCGTATCACTATCATTATCATAATTATCATAATACCCTTATCACCATTATATAATATTTCATATACCCTTATCACTATCATTATCATAATACCCTTATCACTGTCGTTCTTATTACAACATCCAGCTTTCACAAGTACCTCTACTTAAAGCTGAATATTTACCTGAACTGGAAGAGTTGGATCAAGAAAGTGCAGCCGAACACCAAAGCCATAGTCGTTAACAACAAAAGCCACATCTGGTAATAATTAGCATAATTAGTATATCACATTTGTCAATATACAACAAAAAGCTTATTGTACACCTGTATTTTATTCCCTGTCGTTAAACATACCTAATTAGTATATCACATTTGTCAATATAGAACAAAAAGCTTATTGTACACCTGTATTTTATTTCCTGTCGTTAAACATACCCAATTAGAATATCACATTTGTCAATATACAACAAAAAGCTTATTGTAAATCTGTATTTTTATTCCTGTCGTTAAACAGATCCAATAGTATATCACATTTGTCAACATAAAAATAAAAGCTTATTGTAAATCTATTTTTATTTCCTGTCGTTAAATATACCCAGTTAGAATATCACACTTGTCAACATACAACAAAAAGCTTTATGGTACACTTGCATTTTATTTGCTGCCATTAAACATACCCAATTATTATACCACACTTGTTCATATACAACAAAAAGCTTATTGTACACCTGTATTTTATTTCCTGTCGTTAAATATACCCAATTAGTATATCACACTTGTCAACATACAACAAAAAGCTTATTGTACACTTGCATTTTATTTCCTGTCGTTAAACATACCCAATTAGTATATCACACTTGTCAATATACAACAAAAAGCTTATGGTACACCTGTATTTCATTTCCTGTCGTTAAACCTACCCGAGTTCGAAAACGGGTGAAAATCACTGAAATGGCGTGTCGAGAAAGGATTCGTCCGCACACTTACCTCATATTTATACGGCTTCACGAATCCCAGCATATCCGCTTCGTACACAGGCCGTTTATAACCCACCACCTGTTGGTCCACGTACAGAGGCACGCTGAAGTCAACTGCTCGAACTCGGAGGCTATCCATTGACAAGACGACAGCTGTCATATCCGCCTCCTAGAAGATAATTCTTGTTGAGTCTGTCCTTATCACAATAGTATACTGAAAGGGAGCTACTCCATGCAACAAGGCAAAGCATGGTAGAAGACAAAATTCCCAAACCATGACAAAATTCCCAAACCATGACAAAATTCCCAAACCATGACAAAATTCCCAAACCATCACAAAATTCCCAAACCATCACAAAATTCCCAAAATCACAAAATTCCCAAACCATCACAAATGCCCAAACCATGACAAAATTCCCAAACCATGACTGCAGTCTTACCCCTCGCGTTAGGAGCCCCATCAAGCCGGTCCAAGTCCCGTTGGGGAGCTGCGACCCAAACACGCGGTCCTTAGCGATGACATATTCGTAGCTGGCAATATGGCAACAAGTTAATAAACTGATGATAATGTGACAAAATTACCTCATAAAAATACAACATTCATAGATTTCTGATAACTGTAGAGCCAAGGGAAATATTTGAAGAGATTTAATAAGCTGCTGATGTGACAAAATTACCTCATAAAAATACAGCATTCATAGATTTCTGATAACTGCAGAACCAAGAGAAATATTTGAAGAGATTTAATAAGCTGATGATGTGACAAAATTACCTCATAAAAATACAGCATTCATAGATTTCTGATAACTGTAGAGCTAAGAAATCCGAAGAGATTTAATAAGCTGATGATAATGTGACAAAATTACCTCATAAAAATACAGCATTCATAGATTTCTGATAACTGTAGAGCCAAGAGAAATATCCGAAGGGATTTAATAAGCTGATGATGTGACAAAAATTACCTCATAAAATATACAGCTTTCATAGATTTCTGATAACTGCAGAACCAAGAGAAATATTTGAAGGGATTTAATAAGCTGCTGATGTGACAAAATTACCTCATAAAAAATACAGCATTCATAGATTTCTGATAACTGTAGAGCTAAGAAATATCTGAAAGGGATTAATAAGCTGCTGATGTGACAAATTACCTCATAAATAACAGCATTCATAGATTTCTGATAAGTGTAGAGCTAAGGAAAATATCTGAAGGGATTGAATAAGCTGCTGATGTGACAAAATTACCTCATAAAATACAGCATTCATAGATTTCTGATAAGTGTAGAGCTAAGAAAATTCTGAAGGGATTGAATAAGCTGCTGATGTGACAAAATTACCTCATAAAATACAGCATTCATAGATTTCTGATAATAAGTGTAGAGCCAAGAGAAATATTTGAGAGATTTAATAAGCTGATGTGTCATAAAAATACAGCATTCATAGATGTCTGATAAGTGTAGAGCCAAAGAGAAATATCCGAAAGGGATTTAATAAGCTGATGATGTGATAAAATTTACCTCATAAAAATACAGCATTCATAGATTTCTGATAACTGTAGAGCCAAGAGAAATATTTGAAGAGATTTAATAAGCTGCTGATGTGACAAAATTACCTCATAAAAATACAGCATTCATAGATTTCTGATAACTGTAGAGCCAAGGGAAACACCAGAAGAGATTCTCACCAGATATTCAGATGTTTGGCAAGTATTTCCATCATATTTATCGCAGTACCAAGGGCTTTACGGGGTGTCTCGTCAGATATGTAAGTGACATATGGACCCCACTGAGGAAAAATCAAAAAGAACATTGATAAACTTCATACATATATATACACATATGGGAGAGGAGAGGGGGGGGGGGGAAGGGAGGGGGATGAGGAGGTGAGAGGGAAGGGAGGGGAGGAGATTAGAGGGGGAGGGGAAGGGGAGGGAAGGAAGGGAGAGGAGGAGGGGAGGGAAGGAAAGGAGAGAGAGAGGGGGAGAGGAAGGAGGGGAGGGAAGGAAGGGAGAGAGAGAGGGGGAAGAGAGAGGAGGGGAGGAAGGAAGGGAGAGAGAGAGGGGAGAAGAGAGGAGGAGGAAGGAAGAGAGGAGGAGAGGGAGGGAAGAAGGAGAGGGGAGGAGGAGGGAGGGGGGAAGGAAGGGAGAGGGGGAGAGGAGGAGGGAAGGGAAGGAAGGGAGAGGGGGAGAGGAGGAGGAAGGAAGGAAGGGGAGAGGGGAGAGGAGGAGGGAAGGGAAGAAGGGAGAGGGGAGAGAGGAGGGAGGGAGAGAGAGAGAGAGATCAATGTAGTCACGATAATGCGAAATCATGATCACATTCTTCACTGTAATTAGAAAAGCATAAAAGTCTGAAACACTGTCAGGCTTGAGAACGTTCTACTTTTTACGTCATCTAAACAAGACAGCTCGAAATTCACGCCAAAAATAGCTGCTTTCTCCCAGCCTCTTGCCAACAGCTTATCCTTCAAATTACCTTCTCGATGCCGACTTTGAGGCACGGTGTCTCCTCTGCAATGAAACCCATGATCCGCCTTGAACTGTACCGTCGAGTCTTACTTGAACATGAAGAATAACGCCATCGGGGAAGGCTGCACCTCCATTTATATAAAAACCTATTTATATATCCCAGGTACGGAATGAAAGAAGGCTTATCAAATGTTGTTCAAAGGGCACATTTGAGCTCGCTAATCCCGCATGTCACTTTGGACAAATGCGAAAAGGTTATCCGATGAGCTTCCAGACTCAAGGTCTCTTGCAAACTTTCAAAGGTTGAAGCTCAATCTGCCACAAAGGCCCAAACACAAGCAAAGCGAAAAAATGGTTATCGGCTGCAAACATGGATACATGCCAGCGCCCCCCCCCCCCCACCCACACACACACTTCAAGAATAATCTATGTTATTCTCCATGGATTTTGCCCCCGGCGTTTGCAGAATTGGATGCAGTTAGACACTTGTTTTCCTTCTAAAAATGATTAAGAGCAGGTTTACTAACAGTGTGGGCAATGAAAGTAAAATCCGTTATACATCAGTTGAGCAATAACATAAAAAAGTGTATATATTTTTCTTAGACCAATGAAATGAAAAGATAGGTCTCTGGTCAGCAAATTTTCGAAATTTAGGTTTATACTATTGAAAATGTGCAACCGTTTTTTTCTAAGCGTTACGAGCTTATAGATTTTACTTTACCCATACTATTAGTTGGCAAATATTAATGATCCGTGATGTGGCATTCAATATCTTTTCAACCGAGTAAAAATTCCCGTTTCCGTCTGCATCCTAAAATGAAGTGAAATAGGATAATGCAATTCGTATCCGGTGGCATAAGTTTGAGAAAATCTTGTGTTCGGAGACGTGGTTGTTCTCTACTTCTTCAGATCAGGTCAAATAACAGGCAAACATTGATGCAACATTTATTACGTTATTATTCAATACACATACAATTGTGCTCTAAAAATTGTTGGCATTTCCAGAAGTTACCAAACCCATGTATATCCTTAACAAAAGGTTTATTTCCTACAAAGTTACAGGTAGGTGGACAGGAACTAACAATAATTATAAATTCAACTTTTTTGCACTTTAGTAAAACTTACCTATGGCACCTAGCTGGTATGTTTTTCATGTGTGCTGTTATATATGACCGTTGTTAATATGTTATCAATTACATGCTTAATCGATTATTTATTATGCTAAATTAGCCATATCAATGTTATTCCTACCACGTTATAATTAAACTGTATTACGAGCCACATTCGTTATTTAAGGTGTCCCATCCATATGTACGTATTTTCACGTTTGTGCATAATCACAAAAAATCAACCTGTACGTTTAGTTTGCATCTAATCTTCAACCGGTACAACACCTCATAAGGATAAAGAAAAGTCCGATATGCGAAGCTGAGCCTCGCCCAGGGTTATGAGGGGAGCCCGGCCTGTGATGACTAACGTCGACTATCAACGTATGCTAATGTAATTATTAACTATAATTATTAACTATAATAATCAAATATAATTATAAACTATAATAATCAACTATAATTATTAACTATAATAATCAACTATAATTATTAGATATTAACTACAACAATTAACTATAAGGTAGTGCTGACGCGACAGAGCTTAGTCCTTACCCACCACAGTGCCCAGAAACAGCGGTAACCTCCAGGTGACAATTGCAACCGCCGACACCTCGGATGAGAGGCTGTACTATCAGATGTATCACTGTACTATCCCGGAGGTTACAGCAGCACAGTGCAGTATTCATTCCAAAAGTCATCAAATGTAGGTACGAGGGTCAAGCTACGTCAATCTAGGTCAAGCTAGGTTACGTGAGATTCAAGCACTGGCGAGGGAGGGTGGGCTGGAGTCTGAGTGACCTCGATCCGCCTTTCCTCTTCTGCAGACGTTGGCGCTGAAGTGCTTGAGAGGAACCGCCAGCTCCAGGAGGAACACGAGCACCGAAAAGACCACTCCTGCGGGGGAGGAGGAGGAGAGATTCCGGATGAAAAAATGTATATGCAAACATATATGCATATACATTCATGCATGCATATACATATGCATATATGCATATACATTCATGCATATATGCATATACATTCATGCATATTATGCATATATACATTCATGCATATATGCATATACATTCATGCATATATGCATATACATTCATGCATATATGCATATACATTCATGCATATCATTCATATATGTATATACATACATGTATATATATTCATACATGCATGTATATTCATACATCCATATATACATAAAAATACATACTCGTAATATGATACATGCATGTATATTCATACATCCATATATATACATAAAAATACATACTCGTACATATGATACATGTACATACATAAATACATACATACATACATATATATACATACATATACAGACACATACATATACACATCATACACTCATGCAAATACATTTCCCCATATAGGAAAAGATAACCAAAGCCTCACCCCCGAAGTACACACAGAAGACGCCGTAGAAGTCCTCCAGCTCGAAGGGTCTCAGGCTTTTCGAGGGCGACACCAAGCCCGGCTGAACACACTTGGTGTAATTCGACAAGCCATGGAGGTACATGCGGTTCAGGATGCCAGATTCCTTCATCCTATAGAGTCTGGAAAGGATTGTTATTGATTTTCCTTTGGTGAACATGTGTGTGTGTTATCGTATTTCTTTAGACGTACGCATAGTCAGACGTACGCATAGTCAGACGTACGCATAGTCAGACGTACGCATAGTCAGACGTACGCATAGTCAGACGTGTGCAAAGACAAAGTCAGACATACACAGAAATAAATCTAGTCTACATCTAAGATTTTATTTGTGTCCTACCGTTTCTTGAACATCGTTACCTCGTCGCCGTAGTTCAAATAACTGACTTTTAAATTGTTTTCAAACTCCGTTTAATTTTAGAAAAAAAAAACATGGCAATTCACCCCAGGCTCTAGATTACTCCGACTCTCTGGAGGATAAGATAATAGTGGTACTGAAGGCACCAAATCATAGTTATAAATATAAAGTATTGTATATCATTTTTAAAACCACAAGACATATATAAAATAAGTATTAAGTGTCTACTTATTAAAAATAAAATGGACTTGGCTTATCGGCATACTCACACACACACACATAAACAAACAAACAAACAAACACACACAAAATGCTTTTAACGAAAAAAATAGTTTAATCAGTACCTCAAATTAAAACATCACATGCTTCATGATGCTAAGGATCCCTTTCATTTCTAACACACACACAAACACACACATACTCCAGTTGAAAAGAAAACATCCCTAGAGGTCATGCTCCCACAGAACTCATCGAGAGAATCCCCCTTGCCAGCATCAAGTCCTTACAGAGGGTTCACTTTCTTGACGAGCGGCGATCCTTTGGGAAACGCAAGGCAGAGGCTCGTGGTGAAGATTGTCCCCTTGGCCATGTACAAAGGGCATGTCCCCCGCTGCAATACGAGACAGGTTGGGATTAGGCTGCTTGTTGGTTGTCAGGTTCTCCCTAAAGCATATGGAAAGATTAGGCTGCTTGTCCTTGACTGACGTGTGGTTAACAGGTTCTCCCTAAAGCACATGGGAAGTATTTGCAGTGGTAGGGAGCTGGAAAATATATTCAATGCGAGATATGGATGGTGGGGAGGGCATGTGTGGACATGTGAAATGCATGTACTTGTATGTATGTGTACGTGTTCATGTATTAAGCGTACGTCTGTCTGTCTGTGTCTGTCTCCCTCCCTCCCATGTGCATGCGCATATACATGTATTTTATGTGTGCGTGTGTATCCAAGGTGTGCTTGTATAAATGACTAAACCTGGACTGGTTTGAAATTACTTTTCATTTCAAATGAGTACGTCACTCATCCTGACAACCAATCATCTCCGAACGTCTACAAAACTACACACAAAAACCAATCAACATTTGGGCCAAGAGTCTGATATTCAACCCCGAAAAAAACTCCTACCGTGCCGTAGATATGATGGATGATCGACTCAAATGCCTTCTTCCCGAAGAACGCAGCGTAGGCGCCCTCGGAGACCTCGTCCACCATCGTCAACACATCCCTGCGCACAAGGGCCTGCTTCCTCAGCTTGTAGAGGGACGTCCCTGGTGCCGCCGTCTGCAATTCGAGAAGCCGATCAAACCTTTAATCCCTGGGGAACGTTAAGAGGCGTCAAAACAATCGTCGGCAGAAGTATGTACGTTTTGCTTCCGAATTCTGCTTTACCGGTTTCTCCTGACATATTTACTGACAAACACAAATATATGATTAAACGAACAATGGCATCGTGGGAAATAAAGTGAGCAACATGTAGCAATTGCATTTGAATAACACGAACTTTTATAAGTCTGGTTGAGAAGACAGCTGGATTATTTCTTCGGTCGTAGGTGCAGATTTTGTTCTTTCTTTCTTTTTTACATCGTGTATAAATTATGATCATGTATGCCTTGATACCTCATACGGAAATTCACCTGTAGATATAGATTTTCTTAACTTCGATGGAAAAAATAGAACTTTATGCAATATGTAGGCCTACTTAAAAGCAATAAATGTGCACAATTTTCAACCGATTGCACGCAAACATGCAATGGGGGGTTTTAACATTCGTTATATTTGAATGTATTAATACTGTGTATTTTAGACAAAGTTTTCAGATACAAAGCGAATAAAAAGATGATCTTGCCTGTACCGTTCAACATCTTTTACATAAATAAACTTTTGCCAAAAATGAAACAAGAGAAATACACATTATCTTTCCAATGGTACAGGCAATTTTTTCCATTTGCTACGGAAACCAAATCTTTGCCAATGTTGATCCTGGACAGATTTTGAACTTGTGTTTAAACTGGAGGAAGGAACCCCAGTCAAGAAAGTGAAAAAATAGATCTTCCTTCTAAATGCGCCATCTCGGTTAACTAAATATACGAAGATGGAGCAAAGAGCTGGTTTGCTACATATACTAGACGTGTTTTCAGGCGACGTACATACCATGATGGCCTGGTGAATCATGCTGTCCTGGTACACGTAGGTCGGGATGCCGGTTTCCACGAGCTCCTCCATGCTATCAAACGGCAGGCGCAGTTTGGGCAGAATCAGCATGGCCTTGAGGTTCGAGCGGTACACTGAGCCGATGATGAGAGCGGAGAGGAGCCACAGACCTCGGATGAACCTCACCGAGTTTCCTTTACACTCCGACGGGACCGCTGAAGGAGGGAAGAGGGAAATCCAGGAGATTAACTGATTGTCGGGTTCCATTCGTCCCTTTTTTTCTTTCAAAGGAACGGCTTTATAGCAATGTTAGATTACGAAAGATTAACCGATTGTCGGGTTCCATTCGTTCCTCTTTTCTTTCAAAGGAACTGATCTATAGCAACGTTAGATTACGAAAGATAACGTGAATAATAAGGAACCTACACTGGGCGAGGAGAGCGCCGAGGATCCACATGTAGGAAGCCCACATGCTCTTCACCGTTTCCTTTTCAGTCATTTCCTTGTCATCAGCAGGTTTTCCACGGAGCATCCTGTTTAAAAGGGGGTTCGTGAATCAGGCAAGTAGTCTAGAGACTTAATTATCATGATGAATACCATTGTTATTACCTCATTTTTTTAACGTTTGTGTTTCAGCAGCACCACCATGAAGGGTTTTGCTTTATACAATGCCCAGCGCCAAATACCCACCTGATCTGAAACAGCTGGATCGTGAAAGTGCAGCCGAACACCAGCACCACAGTTGCCAACAGCGAAAACCACAGCTGGCGATAAGACACTGTCGTCAATAAAAGTCACAGAACAAAGACATTAATCCATAAGTATGCCAGATTGAGCAAAATACAGGTTATCCAGCTGTCCACCGAAAAAAAAATCTTTACCTCGTATGAATAAGGTTTCACGAATCCTAGCATATCGGCTTCGAAGACGGGTCGTTTGTAGCCCACCGCCTGTTGGTCTACGTAGAGGGGGACGCTGAAGTCAACCGCTCGATCTCGCAGGTAGTCTACCGATAGGACTACAGCCGTCATATCCACCTCCTGGAAATTAAATTCTTATTAGAGATGATCTTAATCGTTAATTATGGTATAACTTTTTTTTATTTACTCCTCATTTCATATTCACAACGGTTTGTCATGTTTAAATAAAAATTATATAGCAATTTATGAAGAAATATTTTCTCTAATGTATGACAGCCTCACCCTTCGTGTTATCAGGCCCATCAAACCTGTCCAGGACCCGTTGGGAAGCTGCGAGCCAAATACGCGGTCTTGAGCTACTACAAACTCGTAACTGTGGATGACAATGTACCTAATGCAATGGCTTCATTAATACCAAAATACTATGGAAACAGTAACACATTTTTAGGATAGTAACAACATAAATTCAAAAAATCCTCACCAAGTATTCAGATGTCGCGAGATCATGTCAATGATTTCCACTGCTGTCCCAGTGACTTTGTAGTTGGGTGCCTTGCCATAGATGAAGTTTACGTATGGAGCCCACTTTAGAAATGGAAAATGCCATAGGCACAGCACGATATACATTATACGATATATATATATATATATATATATATATACATATATATATATTATATATATATATATATATATATATATATAACAATCGTATTATAATACATATATTCACACACATATATACATAAATATAAATGTATATGTAAAATATAATACATAAATTCACACACATATATATATACATAATATATATATACATAAGCCCACATATAAGCACACACACACACATGTGTATGTTCGTTCGTGCTTGCGTGCGGTGTGCGCGCGTGCGTGCATGCGGGTGTGCGCGCGTGCGCGCGGTGCGTGTGTGTGTGTGTGTGTATTCACAGGGCTTTAGATACAGGTCATGAGATCGATAGCAATCTGTAGCAATCTTTCAGTCAATGTGTAAAACAGTGTGTTGTGTTTGGGAATCAGTGTCAAAGGCTTCCATCCAAATTACTTGCTCGATGCCGACTCTGAGGCAAGTCGTTCCATTAAGACTGGCCTCCATCTCCTCGCCCGGAATACAGCCCAATCTTGTTCAGGCCAATCTTGCTCAGCCCAATCTTCTCGGCCCAATCTGCTCAGCCCAATCTCTTCGGCCAATCTTGCTCAGCCCAATCTCTCCCAATCAGCCCAATCTCTCTCGGCCCAATCTTGCTCAGCCCAATCTCTCACGGCCCAATCTTGCTCAGCCCAATCTGCTCGGCCAATAATCTCTCAGCCCAATCTTGCTCAGCCCAATCTTGTACAGCCCAATCTCGCTTGAACAGAGTCTAGGGTACAACTCCATCGGGCTAGGCTGCACCATCGTTTATATAAAGCCCCCTTCAGTCTGACCATTTCCCCATTGCATTTTTAATGGCGCGCCTAATATGGACCATCGACGAGAGAGAACGAAAGATATCCGTACAGGGGATCCTCTGTTTACGACTGTCTCGACTTACGACTTTTCGACGCTAAAAAGCATGTATTTATTTACAGTTTGTCTTCCAGGTTTTCCTTTAGCCCTAGTTATGTTTTCATTTACGTCATAGAATTATCTTATGTTTTAAATTATGACTTTAATACATGTATACCTACTGCATTAGCATATGTAAGTGACCGGTGTTTATGTACGTACGTACGTACATGTACTGTATTCAGGTGTGTTCCGACATTCGTCAAAATTCGGGTTACGACGCCATCGTAAGTCGAGGATTCCCTGTAATTGGTGAATTGCATCGCATCTCATAACTGCCAAACGTACAAGTGACTTATTGAACAAGTACTTGTGATTTGCTCTTGTCCAAAGCGCATTTGACTTCGGACCCCGAGCGGGAGAAATTCCTTTTTAACTCGATGTCCGAGAAAACTTCGAAAGGTTAAAGCTCAATCTGTCCCGAATGTCCATAAAAAGGCAAACGGAAGGCGGATTATCGGCCGCGTGTGTACATAATATACAAACATATGCTTACACACATACACAGGCACATTTACATACATATACAAACGTGCACGCACACACGTGTATATATGCATAAGCATACATACATAGGCTACACTATATATATATATATATATATATATATATATATATATATATATATATATATATATATATATATATATATATATATATTGTATATATAATATATATATATATATATATATATATATATATATATATATATATATATATATATATATATATATATATATATAACAATAAATCGCGAAGGGAGAGAACCTTCCCCCATTCCCTCACTCTAACGCAAGTCAATCACACTACGGATACAAGTCAGCTCAGGTGCAGACCCTTATTAATCAAATAATTCCTGCTCCTCCCCCATCGCGTTTCAACATCGTTAAAGCATCTTTAGTAATAAGAACTTAAGTGAAAAGGATATTATAAAGTCTTTGCAATCAATATACCTTTATTTCTGTAGTCATACTGTACGAGCATAAACACAAGAATAATTTCATAGAAGTAAGACGCGCACACAAACACAAACACAAAAATCATGATAAAGCGAGTCCCAGAATGGTATATCTATCGCTTGTGATAGACTGGCCTCACCCGACAGATTTTGCCTCAACCCGTATAGGGCGTTGTGGAAAAGGAAAAGTTCCCTATGGACATCCTATCAAGGTTTTTTAAGTACTTTCATCAACAACAGACCTGGGCAAACTACGGCCCGCGGGCCACATCCGGCCCTTTGTGCGGACCGGACAGGCACTAAATATATAATTTATTAAATATATAATTCATCAAATATATAATGTATCATATATAATTTATTAAATATATAATGCCCTAAATATATAATTTAATGCATTTTACAATGGAAGAAAGTTGAGCAGAATTAAGTTCAAGTTATCGTTGGTGTGGCCCTCTGACAATTCAGGTTTCTCATATGGCCCCTTGTAAAATTTAATTGCCCACCCCTGATCTACAACCTCCAAAGCGCTGACCTATTTCGGCAAGAAGGGGCTCTTTAGCTCAGCCAATTGGTGTGAAACCAGTAAGTTTATTTCGCTTGCAGATCCCTGGTTTGACCTACTGAATCCAAAGGTACTCTATGATAAAAAGGTATCACGGAATGCATATGGGGCAAATAAGAGTCAGAAAAATGTCTTGGAGGAGATGATAAGTACCATGACATCTTTGAAAGTTTGTGGCCACCGAGGTCTGCTGCCATTTCAAAACGGACTTATCGTATCCTCCAAATCATTGTCCGGTTTGTATGATGTTAAAGAACAAGCATGAAATTTCATTCTTACGTACAAACTCAATCAAGACACAGTTGAGCATTTTTTGCTTCCCTTCGTCAACTAGTAGTTACTGTGATAATCCGACTCCTATGTCCGTTAAACAACGCTAGATATATACAGGGTGTAGAGAGTGGGCTCATGGGCAGTAGATACAACATAGATTCCGAAAATAAAGAAAATGCCCTTGTGAGCACTCCCGGCTGTAGTACAGATCAACAGGTGACTGAACATGACCTAGAACGGGAGCTCTCTCTAACTGCGATGGTATTTTGCTCTTCTGATTATGATGTTGACCTTGCAATGACCTGTAATGATGATGAGATAGATATCACTGCACAAAGTAACTTGGAAACCCATATAGAATCCGAAGACATGATGTATTTCGCGGGTTATCTGGCAAATAAATTTCCCCAATATGAACTCGGAGTGAAAGTCCAGGAAGGACAGGAAGCCAATTGGATTAGTACAGTGGCCAGGCAAAGTCACAAGCTTACAAAACCAAATGCAGAGTTCATACAAAAAATGGAAATTATGGTATATTTTGACCGTTTTCATGAACAGACATTGCAGTCTGGAAAGGGCATCATAAATACCCTTTCTACAGACATGAAACAGTACGTTGATCTCCCAGATGAGGTCATTGCAGCATATATTAGGTTTCGCACCTATTTCAGAATGCGCATCTTGAATAATAAGATTTATGAATCTTGCATGATCAAAAGGAAAGTCCACAAAATTGTTATTTAGCTTATACATGTATATGTATGTGCATGTTCATGTATTGTCATTATTATTATTATAGCTTATTGTTATTATTGTATGATATGTCTTGTAATAAATTCGTCATGAACATTTGGAGTTTAAATATGTCATGTCTTTGTTTATTTTACGTCTTTATTATGCCATATCTAGGCTGCAACATGAGAATTACAAAACTAAATTCACGTAAAGTATGTGATATAGACCAACAAACAATCGCTGATAATCATCGCCTGTAAAATCTATCCAATATGCAGATCGGTCAACGTGCCGGCATCTAAAATTACATAAGTGTCCGCTCATTTGCTACCGTTTTCTATTATCTCCCCCCCCACCTATCATGCTCTAATCCCCCCCCCTCCCCCGCTCTCAGCTTCCTCCTAGTGACGTCACAGGCCTTATCACCCAAAGCTGCGTAGAACTCCGAAGTGACGAGACCTGTACTTATACAGACCTTGCGTCCTACTAACTTCAGGCTAGTATAGCGGTAACGTGTCGGCATCTCACCATTAGCCGACACGTTGATCGAGTCGACACTAATCGGCACAGGTCGCGCTCCCTTCCCAGCCCGGGCGAGGCTCAGCTTCGCATATCGGACTTATCCTTATCCTTACGACCTTCATCTGATACCCGGCGTTCCCCGTCACTCGAATGCCAAGCGAGGGAAATCGGCGCACTCTTTTGAACGGGGTATCCTTCTCCTTTATCTCGGTGGCGATGACGGCTGGCAACGATGCAATCTCCTTGTGAAGGACGAGGCACACAAACACTTCTCTCACAAGCTGCAACAAAAAAGAGCATAAATACACCATGATTTAAAATGGTAGTACACAAAAATTAAATCTGATAAAGTTCGAAAACTCCGGATAGACTCACCTTGCTTTAGAAGATTCCAAACACTGCGAAATGCCAACCCTCTTCCCAGCGGTTACAGCTATAAAAAAATAATAAAAAATCACAGATATTATCGAATGTTCACAAATACAAACAATCCATATAGATATATCTGATATATAATATATATATATGATGTATGATACGATATATATGATGATATACGATTAATGTGATATACAGATACGATATATATGATATACAGATACGATGTATACGATATATGGATATGATGTATACCATATATGATATATATGAGACATAGATGATATATTAGATATACATAGATTTTATATATATGATATAGACATACAGATACGATATAATATATATATATATATATATATATATATTATATATACATACATACATATGATATACATGATATAAAGACATATATGATGTAATATATAAAATACGAATATACATATATGATGTGACATGATATATGATGATGTGATATGGTATATATATATATATATATGATATAATATATATGATAACATAATATATACATGATATAATATATATGATATATATTACATACGATAGATATATACTATTACCCATATTACCTATACAAGGCAAAATAACTGCCTATATATCAAATGATCGAA